TTTTTTTTCCAACACACACTAATTAACCTAGCCCCAAAGTAAGCAATAAGGCTTGTGTTATGGGATGCTAGGTTAACGGATAAAATATATAAATTGTATATATATATATAAGTATATTTATATAAAAATACATATTAAACATCCATGACTGGAGTACAAATGCACGTATCCATCACACAAACATCTGCCCCCACCGGGATTCTAACCCGGGACCTCTCGTTTCGGCGACACCATGAAACCCGGCTTACAAACCATTCGGCCACGGAGGTCGTCAGATACTATGAAAGTAACTAAAATATACAGTCCTGGCAGTATCTGTATCATTAAGTTATCTTATCTTTCTTATGGCATAAGCTGCTGAACTAAGTTTAGCAGCCAACAGCTTAATATCATGATTGCATTGCAGTTTTGAGTCTATCGTTATACCCAAGAATGTAGTCGAGTCTACTAAATCTAATTTTTCATTATTTAATTTAATTCCAATATGTTAATATGTATAATATCAATATTATTATAAGTAACAGATATTGTTAAATATACAATGAAAACATACAATTGTGTCATTGACTAAATAAATGCTTTTTCATTCTTACAAAATTTACACGTGTTGTGTCGTGATTGTTGCGAAAGGCACGCTAACATTCGCAGTGGCCTTCGCGGCAGGCTCGCGGGCGCTGTCACTTGTATGTTCATTACTTTATTTTATGGATTGTTTTGTGGGAATAGGGTTACCAGATGAAAAAATCAAAAGACCGGAGAAAAAGCTTGGTTTCCATTGAAAAATCCTGAGATTTTACAGTTTGAGTATTTTCTCTCAAACGTACTTAACAATTTAGAAAATTCGTAATATTATCGTTTATATATACATGCTGCTTATACTTTTCAATATAATTTGAAGAGCATAACATGAAGGGCATTTTATAAATCCTTATTTAAAGAACAAACCTTACTTAAAAATGTATCATCACATATTAAGTATGATAAAACTGATCAAGTACCTACTTAGATAAATAAGTACTGATTTTAACTATGCAATTATTTTCAAAGGAAGATTACTTTCAGTTTGTTTAAGTTTTTATTAAACAGATCTTTAAAACGTTAGCTGTATTTTATTGAAAATTCAAAAAATCCTGAGATTTCAAGAGATTTTCAAAATCCAGCCGCAATCCTGAGAAGAGTCCAAATATCCTGAAATATGGTAACCCTTTGTGGGAACACACAAATATATCCAATAAGCCCGACATTAGAATTTGCATGTTCAATCGTGGCATACTATATATAAGTTAGGTTGGTCAAGAATGACGTCATAAAAGCCTCCAATAGCGGCGCCAGTAAAGAGGGAAGGGACATTGCGGAACAGAGGTAGGCGGGGGGCGAGGGGGCCGGGGGGGCGGGGGCGGCAACAGGTGTCGCAGATGCCGGCGATGACTCTTCTAATTCCTCTCATCATTATTTTGAAGATGTTTGAATCCATGTACGGACGGGCAATCAACCAAAAAATGACAAAGTTATAGCGCGTCAAAGTTTGGGAGAAGGGGCTCGTGACGTCACTTTTGAGTGAATTTTCACTTATAAGTGTACTCAAACGTGACGTCATGCGACTTTTTAAATCAATATATCTCTGCAATGTTTATATTATGTGAAAAAAGAAAAAATACGTGTCCAATACTTTTTGATAATCTACCTGATAAACGAAGTAAAAAAAAAAATAGTCAACATTCCTATTATCTTATAATTAATACTTTACGTATACTTCATTACTTTTATGTATTTTATCCTTTTTGCTGCTGTCGAGGTTGAATGAACTGAAATTAAATAACTCAGAAGAAAGGAATAGAAAAAATTAGTACACCATCATCATTTCGGTGGCATTACTTCCATGCTGTCGCTATTATCATCGAGTTATAGTCAAAATGCTGAAATCAGTGTAACTAATTAGAGATTACTTAGGAGCGGTAATGATCGCCGCGTTTCCCAATCGAGTGAGCGAGCAGGAGCTCTATTTTTGAATCACTCGTCTGACATAGTATCGTCGAATGCGACATAAGTCACCTTCGACTTTCAAGTCGCATAGTACTGATTTTCCGTATTTTTGAATCACTCGTCACCAGTGTTACCTGTTTGATACGAAATATGAAATTATACTCATATCACGCAGAAATAATAAAAACCGGTAATTACTACTACTCTTTGTAGTTTCATTTAAAGCATGACAGTGATAGATTATCGTCGTCTAATAGCACAAAAAAAATGACAATTATTCTATAATTCGCCTCCACCGTTCGCCATGCAGCGAGTGGTCTCACCCATTCGTTGCACTCGAGCGTTTCAAAAATACGGAATTAATTATGTCGAATGAAATTTAGTAGAAATCGAGCGTTAGACGCAAGGCGAGTAATTCAAAAATAGAGCTCCTGATCGTGTGCAAGTAGGGTGATTGCAGCAGTACTTGCTTCTGCAATATATCGATCATTACGTAAGCGACCTTCCCACGAGCGCAACCACTATACCACAAGCGCTGACGGCGCCGGCGATCCCATCGCTACTCTTGACTGCTTTTTTGACCCTGAAATCGAACAAAGATCTTTCATTGTTTTTTGCATTCTAAATTATACCAAGAAGCAAGGCTAGCGGATATTGCCGAAACATATTAAGACGTGTAATCAAGAATGGAATCATCTTATATCTATATATATAAAACTCAAAGGTGACTGACTGACATAGTGATCTATCAACGCACAGCTCAAACCACTGGACGGATCGGGCTGAAATTTGCCATGCAGGTAGATGTTATAACGTAGGCATCCGCTAAGAAAGGATTTTGATCAATTCAACCCCCAAGGGGATAAAATAGAGTATGAAACTGTCAATTTTAAACCCATCGGGCTGAGACTTTGCATGCAGGTATGAGAAGAATCATAGTAGTGATCTATCAACGCACAGCCCAAACCACTGGACGGATCGGGCTGAAATTTGGCATGCAGGTATATGTTATGACGTAAGCATCCGCTAAGAAAGGATTTTGATCAATTCAACCCCCAAGGGGATAAAATAGAGTATAAAACTTTGTCAATTTTAAACCCTTCGGGCTTTGACTGACTTAGACTTTGCATGCAGGTATAAGAAGAATCATAGATGAATGTCATTGTGTATAATACAAAGCCTGAGAACAAAAACTGTAGTCTACACTTCAGCTCTACACCGAAGCGAAGCGAGGGCGGGCCGCTAGTCAAGTCTATAACTGATGTGATTTATTCAATTCGAATTATGCCTATGTAATTTATGTAGCTGAAATTAAGCGCGAACAGGACGTCTGGCATTGCGCCCGCGCAGATCCATGGGTTAACGATCTGCTTCAAAATACTTTTACTCATCCTTCAACTGTCAAGCCAACTCGTTGTGACTGTGCGTTACTATAGCAGGTGACATACACACTTTATTCCTGAGGTATTTTCCATAATATCTTTAAAGCTCTAGTTTGCTTGTCCATTGTTAATGCGATGTTACGCATTTCTGTTTATCGTTGGACTAAAAAGTTGAGCAAAGTTGAAGTATTCTTAGTAATAATGACATTCTTCCACATAATATATTGAAGTTGAACTAAACCCGCCACTTCTGGCGTATATTATTGTAGATTTACACCATAAACTCACATCTGACATCAGAATTTTCAAATATCTGTTTTCAAAATTGACGAAGTTATAAATCAACCTTTTGCCCTGAGATATGAATTCACTAAAAAATATTTACCTATGTGTAAAGCGGGCGGCGCCGGCGGCAGAACACAAATTGCAGCAATCACACATAAACGCAACCCAATTAATGCTGCAACATTTGCTTAATTTAGCACACAGGATATTGTGGTGGTGCTGTGCTGTGAGAAAAAATACATTTGATTTTTGGAAGTTCCCAGTCTCACAAACATTATGCGAAACAGATGCGGATTAAGTGTTTTTGGCAATCCATAAAGCCACTACTTACACGACTAGACTAAATTACAAATTGTAATGACTGAATATGAATGAATAAATAAAGAGTACACTATTTAACTACTAATAAAGTAGGACAAGCTTCTGAATGAAGTACATTTGCCGATAGATAATGCCCAACCAAAGATACCTATTATTTATAAAAACACGAAAGATACACCGAAGAGAGTGATTACATTGCTAAAATAGAACTTACGAAAATGAACTGGAAAGTACAACAACGGAATCAAAACCGAATGTTTATCTCGATAAAAATAACAGGAAATATTTACAGATGCAGAGCGGTCATTAATGACAGCCACAATATTTATGTCAAAAACATCTAGTCTGGTTTCGAAATAAACAACATTTTGGTCACCTTCATAATTTCTATTTTGCGTGGGTGAATATAGTATAATATAAGAAGTAGTGTTCGTGCAGCTGTGTATCGGACAGAGACAGCATGCCCTTGTCTCTGTCTGCGGAAGGCGTGCGCGCGCGCAGGCGCAGGGCTAGACGCGGAGCGAGCGCGCGGTCAGTCGCGCGACCGTCTCCATCGCGATGTGTCACGCCGTGGTCCTCGGCGTGCTGTTTTCGTTGCCCTCGTACCTGTACTCCGCTGTCCCATTCAGGTGAGCTCGCCGCGGGGCGCGGGGCGCGGGCCCACCATCTCGTCCGCTTCGAGACCATTGTGTTGTGTTCATGTCACCATCATCTATCTACGTTTAATCAGTGTCTTGTGTGTTTTTGACCCTGTAATGTAACCGAACTTGTACCTTATCGATTGTTTCGTATATGTTGTGTCATTTTATTTTTCGACAACTTTTAAAATGTGTGACTGCATTCACATGCGGATAACCGCATCGAAGACTTTGTCGAATCCTACCTTGCAGGGATAGACTGTCCGCTCGAGGAAGTGGTTTCGAGCGATCGTGTTTGACCCGTTAGGCATAGCAGATATTGTTATGTAGCGGATTGATCGGTTTTGGTGGGTTCGAATCCGTCACGAAGGCTGCGCTGAGGTCATGAGAGATGATGGCCTCCGAAGGCTGCAACAGAAGTAGCGCTCTTCGAGCCGTGACGGAAACTGTGGCCAGTAGTGTTGACGTGCTCAGTGGACAGTGTAGAGACTCATGCCCGCCATGGACAGATGCCTCGAGGTACTCATGCTGTGGGTCTCCGTGATCATGGATGCCATCTTCGGGAAGTTAGTATCATCCTAGCACAAATGTCGCTTTGGTCTAATTAATCGTTCGTCACTAACAAATGGGAGCTGGTACTCGCCTTGTAAATAAAACAGACACATCTTTAGAACTTGATTGAATGACATGCGTCAACAATTTAATTTTTATTAATAATGTGATTATCTTGATCCACATACCCGACTTTTGACTCTTAACCAACTTCCGATTAGATAATTTACGAAATCCGTGGATAAAAGTGATATCGTAGGCATTAGATTACATGGACAAAATGAAAAGTAGATTTAATTTGTCATTTATACTATTGATTTATGTTAATAAATGAAATTTGATGCAGCGAATGACATACATTTTTGATTGTATAAAATTTATTCATCAGATAAGTTCATTCCGAGAGTTAAAAAATGTAAATGCCAACCAAAACCCACGGTCGTAAAGGTGCACAGTCAACATTGTCCCCGCTTCAATGATCGTGTTTGCATTGCTGGTGTGGTAATCGGATTCATGGTGTTTGTGGTGCTCAAATTATTTCTTCTGAAGCGGCATGCGAGTTGCAGCTGGGAAGGGGGGGGGGGGGAGCTCTAACATTGATATTTATTATCTTTATCATCATCAATAAGACTAGGGATGTCGAAAGTTGAAAAAAATATCGATATATCGATACATCGATCTTTTAAAAAATATCAATATCGGGTTCGATATATCACGAAAAAAACATCGATATATCGATATATCGGACCAATTTCCCAAAAATATCGTACAGTAGCTCACGAAATATGACACGCGGAATAGACCCTATTTTCGAATGATGAAAATGATTGCAGGGCCTCTCCGGTAAATGATTGCAGGGTCTCTTTCGTTAACAAGACTAGACAGTCACACACTTCACAGAATATAGTGGAAATCAGCACAACCAATTCACCAGGGAAACAGATTTACAAATAATAGACAATATTAAATACAGCACAGATCATAGATATGTTGAATATCATTAATCTGAGATCCAGTTACGATTTTTCCAGATACGAATTTAGTTAGATCGTGATATGCCGCTAATAATTAAAAAAATATCGTTAATGATACGAATTTCGATATTGGTTATTTTGTGTCGATGTATCGATATATCGAATCAAAATATATCGGCAAAAAATATCGATATATCGAACAAAAATATTGATATATCGATACATCGATATATTTTCAACAAGCCTAAATAAGACAGTATCGATTGCCCTACTTTCAACAGGTATATGCATACACATTCAAAATACTACTCTGAAGTCTATTTAAAATTAATTTTGATGAACGCGTATCTCTCAGACGGACCGAAATAACTAGGTTTCGCATGTGATTCAGACTAACACTGAATTTTGTTGTAGATAAATTTTTTCGTCACAGATTCCGCTTTCGTTATGTACGAGGTCATTTCCAAGTATCATGGTACACGATAACAAACGTTAATCAATAAGCTTTAATGGTAACTCCTTTATTTTGTAGATTTGTTACTTTGGTTTTAATCCAATTCATATAGAGAGGTTCCAGGGAGATTAGTAAAGTTACAACATTTACATTAAGATTGCATCAAACGTATTATTAAAGCAGGTAGATAATGTTTCTTATCAAGTAGCAAATTGTTTATTTACAATGGTTTATTATGATTTGATATGAAGGCCTCTGTCCGCTACTTGAGCAGTAATGACACTGCCAACTTGACAAGTGATGGCGGAGGAAGTGCGGCTCGACCAGGTACTGCGCGTGATTCGCCGCTTAACTGGTTGGTGACGTAACGCGCGCGTCTTATTTGTTGATACCCGGCTCTCGGCTCGGCTCGGCCACAACGCATTGAATCTCGTCACCTCAGTTCCGCCCACGCATGCGTTCTGGTTTTTAAACCACGGTGAAAACAAATAAATAAATATTTCCAACACTCACACCAATTAGCCTAGCCCCAAAGTAAGCACTGTAAGGCTCGTGTTATGGGATACTAGGGTAACGGATAGAATACATATGAAATGACATGAAATGAAAAGTCATTTATTCAGTCTAGACTGTTACAAGCACTTGTGAAGGTCAAGAACCTACGCCATCGGTTCGCAAAACTACGGCGGGAGACCTTGTACTGAGAAGAACCGGCAAGAAACTCAGCAAGGGCTGCTTTTTTCTCTCTGTATTGATATATACAGAGTCGTCAAGTTGAAAAATGACTTCAGAGATACTTCTGAAGTCACCTTCCATTACATTATTTAGGATATAGATGTATAAAGTTACAATAATAATTTTATATTTAGTATATAGGAAGCGGCATTAGATAGGTACCATATATTACTGTTACAAAAACTGACTCATACCCATCAAATAACAAATTACAAGAAACACTATGTCCATGCATTACGATCATTTAGATAATCATTAACTTTATAATAGCCCTTATTCATAAGAGAATTCTTGATCCGAGATTTAAATTTGGTTAGTGGAAGCTCAATCAGTACATATATAAGTATATTTATATGGAAATACATATTAAACATCCATGACTGGAGTACAAATGTTGGTATTCATCACACAAATATCTGCCCCCACCGGGATTCGAATCCGGGACCTCTCGAGTCGGTGCCACCATGAAACCCGGCGTACAAACCACTCGACCACGGAGGTCGTCATGACAAACTTTGGATGATTTAGATCTCTTAAAAATTATTTTCATAAGACATTTTCAAATTAATGAAAACTAGATATTTCCCGCGACTTCGCCCACGTTAACAATCGAATTAGATCCAGAAAGAAATGCGATATCGTAAGCTTTCTGAAGCGCATCTCAATCTAGAGGATCTTCTGAAAAACCTACTTAGTTTTTACTAGTGAGCCTAAAAAGTTTATGATACTTATAATGGTAGCCATACACACTACGAGAAATCGTTACGATCAGACTGTACAGTTCGAACGGAACAGTTTATCGTACGTGGCGTACGTATAGAAAACTGTGCAGTTTTATAACATACACGCTACGATTTATCGGTACCGGTCGGACGGTAGAGTCTAATCGTAACGATTTCTCGTAGTGTGTATGGCTGGTATATTGTGAAGCAGGTAGAGCTTTACAAATCGAGTTAGTTAGCAATGTTAGACTATCGTTGTCCTAGGTTTGCCTGCGTTCTATGTCTTCGTTTTGTGTTAACGTGTTACCCATTGTATTTATTATACACTAGTGGCCCGCCCTCGCTTCGCTTCGGTGTAGAGCTGTAGTGTAAACTATAGTTTTTGTTCTCAGGCTTGTGCTATAAAGTATGACTTTATTTATATAATTACACGTGTTATTGTGAGTCAACCATAAAAGATAGACATATGCTGTTGCGGGATATTTTTTAGACAATTTTATGTAGAATATTTCCGTGATACATGATTTCTATGTAACTTTAACCATTAAGGCTGCACCCGCGACGGAAGCTTAAAAAATGGAGTAACTTCTCCCGTTTTCCCAACATTTCCCTTCACTTCTCTGCTGCTATTGATTGTAGCGTGATGAAAAGTATACTATAACCTGCCCAGGAGTTAAAAGAATAATTGTACCAAGTTTCGTTAAAATCCGTCGAGTAGTTTTTGTTTCTATAAGGAACATACACACAGACAGACAGACAAAAATTTTACTGATTGCATTTTTGGCATCAGTATCGATCACTAATCACCCCCTGATAGTTATTTCATGTACAGAATTGACATCTCTACAGATTTATTATAAGTATAGATAAATTATTTCTTTCCACATGAACGTCAGCAGGATCATTGAAAAAGGGACGTGAATTTTTAATCCAGAACTCTTGTATAATTTTTCGGTGTTGTTTTGGAAGAGCTTTGCTTTCTGAATCTGGGCCACCTTGCGCGCTGCTCGGGCGTCCAACAATCATCGTTGTCGTAGTTACCGTGGCGTGGGATCTAGATTTTTGTAATGTAGCTCCCAAATTGGGGCAAAACCTTTCCTGACTCATGCAATTTTGCAGCAATTCTTTAACGATGACATTTCAACAAGTTATTGCAATAATTATTACTTATTAGTGTTCATAAATATGCACTACCACGCTTGTACCTTTCGATCAACCAAATCGAAGGACCATTTATTACAAGCGATTTTCATTAATACAATGTTCATGGGAAAATAAATTAATTTTAAAATGACCTATAATGATCGGTAACATGTCAACAATATTTACATAGCTTCTCTTTTTTATAAATTCCATCAATTACAAAAACATTCTGATACATTGACCAAAGAGATCAGTAATGTTCTATGTTATAATTATAAATATAAACTAAAAATTATAAAATTGTGTACATACACTTATTTTGTATGGACAGTTACTACTTTTATTTTGTCGCATCAGCACTGCTCAACAGTCAGGCGAAGATCAAATTATTCTTTGAAAGCGGTGCGTAGCGATAGCGACACGGCTGGCGGCGCTGGCGCACTGGCGGCCTCAACACTTTGTGTTCCTGAGGCCATTGTCAGCGGAATAACAATGCACGCTTCTGAATCACAAAAAAGCACTTACCGATCCGTATTATTTGTACTTTTTTCCTGTGACTATAGGAAGTTAAGTTTCAATATTACACTGTGTAGGTACCTTTAACATAAAAACCAGAAACAAATAAATAATTTGCTTTTTATACTTATTAAAGATTTTTTATTCATACTTAATGCCTGTATTATGTTATTTCGTGCTCATTTGTTATACTGGTTGCTTAACAGTTCTTTCTTTTATTGAGTGAACAAACAGTGTCAAATTCGAGATACCTTTAACATAAAAACCAGAAACAAATAAATAATTTGCTTTTTATACTTATTAAAGATTTTTTATTCATACTTAATGCCTGTATTATGTTATTTCGTGCTCATTTGTTATACTGGTTGCTTAACAGTTCTTTCTTTTATTGAGTGAACAAACAGTGTCAAATTCGAGATCTTTTATCGATTTAATTATTTAAATCTACGTAATATTTTATGCAGCTCTTGCACGGGATAGGAAATCATTGATAAAGAGAAGAAAATTTGGTACTGAGCTGAGGAGCGCAGTGTTTTGCAAGGGCGGAAGTTTAGGAACTTTCCTTGATAAAAAGATGGTCAGTCATTAGTGCTCGAAAATGTAACTCGGAACTCTGTAAGAAAAAACTGTAGCACTGAATTGTGTATGAATGCCAATAAACGATTTACTTTCTTTCTTTCTAACTCGAGCTTCGGAATGCTCGTTGAGCCGTTGATCTGACTCGCACAGGTAGTTTAGGCAGCTAATGATGTATGGTGTTATTGATTGAATATAATGTAATGTTGCGCGGTGTGTATTGCAGGAAGGCGCGGCGCAAGGATCGCGAGGGCGAGCCGGCGGGTGACCCCAAGCTGTACCTGCAGGAGGCGCTGCTCGAGCGCAAGCTGCCCGACGTCGACATGCGGCAGCTGGTGGACCTGCCGCACGGGCTCGACTACAACGAGTGGCTCGCCTCGCACAGTAAGTGTCCTGTCCGTCCGTCCGTCCGTCCGTCACCTATATACATACACACGGGCCGGCGGGTGACCCCAAGCTGTACCTGCAGGAGGCGCTGCTCGAGCGCAAGCTGCCCGACGTCGACATGCGGCAGCTGGTGGACCTGCCGCACGGGCTCGACTACAACGAGTGGCTCGCCTCGCACAGTAAGTGTCCTGTCCGTCCGTCCGTCCGTCCGTCACCTATATACATACACACGGGCCGGCGGGTGACCCCAAGCTGTACCTGCAGGAGGCGCTGCTCGAGCGCAAGCTGCCCGACGTCGACATGCGGCAGCTGGTGGACCTGCCGCACGGGCTCGACTACAACGAGTGGCTCGCCTCGCACAGTAAGTGTCCTGTCCGTCCGTCCGTCCGTCCGTCACCTATATACATACACACGGGCCGGCGGGTGACCCCAAGCTGTACCTGCAGGAGGCGCTGCTCGAGCGCAAGCTGCCCGACGTCGACATGCGGCAGCTGGTGGACCTGCCGCACGGGCTCGACTACAACGAGTGGCTCGCCTCGCACAGTAAGTGTCCTGTCCGTCCGTCCGTCCGTCCGTCACCTATATACATACACACGGGCCGGCGGGTGACCCCAAGCTGTACCTGCAGGAGGCGCTGCTCGAGCGCAAGCTGCCCGACGTCGACATGCGGCAGCTGGTGGACCTGCCGCACGGGCTCGACTACAACGAGTGGCTCGCCTCGCACAGTAAGTGTCCTGTCCGTCCGTCCGTCCGTCCGTCACCTATATACATACACACGGGCCGGCGGGTGACCCCAAGCTGTACCTGCAGGAGGCGCTGCTCGAGCGCAAGCTGCCCGACGTCGACATGCGGCAGCTGGTGGACCTGCCGCACGGGCTCGACTACAACGAGTGGCTCGCCTCGCACAGTAAGTGTCCTGTCCGTCCGTCCGTCCGTCCGTCACCTATATACATACACACTAGTGATGTAACGAATATTCGCATCCGCATTTGCAGTCGCGAATATTCGCATTCACATTTGCATTCGCAAAATCTCTGTGAATGTTTTGCGAATGTGAATATTACAGAAAAACAATTTGAAGAAGTTGTAGTTCCTCCTTTCCTTGAATATTCATTGTTACACAGCTTTCATTTAGCTCGTTCAGCATCGCAAAGTGTGAAATAAGTCCATATTTCACTAGAATTTCATTTACTCCTGTTACTAAATCACTATTCAAGCAAAGGTATCGCTGAGTTTTTGCCTTTATCTGTCGTTGCGGCACACAGTTACATACCTAGTAATTAATTGTTTTTTTTTTTTTTTTTTTTTTTTTTTTTTTTTTGAATTTGTGTGCTGTACTGATGGGAATAAATGATTTATCTATCTATCTATCTATTCAAACTAACCTCAAAATTCACATGTTTTGTTTACGAAAAGCCCGGCGCGAGCGGAATGACACTTCAGTCGGATGAGTTCATATCAACTCGGCAATTCGAACGAGACTGACACCATGCCATAGACAATTGGCGCCAATCTTCTGTCACCTTCAATGTCGGCACCAGATATTCGCATCCGCATTCGCGAATGTTCAAAAAATGACATTCGTTACATCACTAATACACACATACACCTGTACCACTGTTACTATTGTACACAAGTTACCAGGCTGCCCCACGCCGACATGGACCGACTGCACTCATCTCCACACAACCATAAGTTAGACAATCTAGTAACCGTATCTGCCTGACAACTACATATAGCGTGTAGGGAAATGAGTTACTTTCGGATTTTTCGTTTGTGAACTGTACATTGCAGTACACTAGGCAGCTGTGATGGTTACATTTCGCCTTTCAATTGTCGATAGCCTGCAGCGGGCGGCGCCCTCGAGGCGGGCGTCAGAAACAAATTGTTACACTGCCCTACATTTGCACATGCTACCAACCTAAGATTGGCTGTATCTCCCGTTCTCATTTCCTTAAGCAATATCATTACGAATAGCAGCAATCAAACAATAGCAGCTATTCAAAGTACAAACCCCAATTTATTAAAGGACAATGGGCAAAACGCACCCAGCTCCGCCAACAATGTAATTAGTATGAATCGAAAGATCTATGAAAAACTACCCGTTTTTCTTATGACACCGAAAAAAATTATCCTGGCAGTCAAAAGATATGACAGCGTAAACTATATCCTTGTAGTTAAAAGATATGACACATGGGCATATTTAAGTAGCTAAATAAATTCATTTTATAGTATCTTCATTTTATATTATTATTAACCATAATAATATGCCATATCGTACTATACAACCAGATATACGACAAAGCCTGCCGACCATCCCGCGCTTGCACTTACAAGGACACCTCAAAACGGTTTACGGGTGTTGATGGACTTGCAGTTGCAAATAGTCGACTCGTCTTACTTCGTTGTGATTGTGCGCTCCCTGTCACTTGACTGATTTTTATCTAACACGCTTTGGACATTGGAACACGATTATCGGTTTTGTCAATTAGTATGGTTGAAGTGGAATGATGTTTTCTACGAAATGTGGACAAGTTTGTGTGATTTGTGGTCGCTCCGTTTAACATAGAAGACAATTTACTACAAAGAACAGAATATTTGAAAAAACCCCAACCCATGCGGGGATTTTTGAATTTACTCTAGCGCGGCAGAATGACATAAGGAGGCACCCTTGCACCTTGTGAAGTACTCCCATAATACCTGAGCCCCCTTTGTAGGGTCGAACTAACTAACTCAATTAATTCCCTTGTTTCATTAATGTTCGTTCGTTATAGCACTTGTACCTATTTAACTTAAAATAACTAAAGACCCCCGGGATGGAATTTGATGTGCTTTGGCACAGATGATCAAGACTATAATACCTTTCAAACAAATGTAGTTTAAGCCGTGGCGGACGTGGGTGCAGCGTCCTTACATTTTTGCCCAATGTCCTTTTGTGATAAAAGCGTAATTAATTTATTTATGATTTGCTTTAAAAACATTCGGTCAAGTCGGATGGAAACATTCATTAAATGAGCCATTGTTCTAAGCCAGTACAATGAGTACATGGACAACGCTTCATTTTAAAAGTACATATATTATTTGATTCATGGTTCATTTTTAACACGCTTTTTTATTGTTTGTTTAAAAAGACTTGAAATTTCCTATAAGCCGTGTTTAACGAATAAAAGTAAGGATTTAACAATAGATTTATTTGAAAGTCACAAACGAAAATAGGTACCTGTACGTACATTAGTGGAACTCTTAACAGTTTTAATAGGGGTGATGACGGGGTACAGTACACGAAATTCTATTTAGTCCGTCAGTTAGATGATCAAAAAATAATGGACACGGTATTTTTTCTTTGGGCAATCAACCAAAAAATGGCAAAGTTATAGCGCGTCAAAGTTTGGGAGCAGGGGCTCGTGACGTCACTTTTGAGTGATTTTTCACTTATAAGTGTACTCAAACGTGACGTCATGCGACTTTTCAAATCAATATATCTCTGCAATGTTTATATTATGTGAAAAAAGAAAAAATACGTGTCCAATACTTTTTGATAATCTACCTGATAAATGAAGGAAAAAAAATTAGTCATCATTCCTATTGATTGTCCTACTAAACTCCTAATCGTCTACTGATGCAGACGCCACTAATCATGACGGCCTAGCCTATCAGACTGTCGCTGATCGATTAGAAAATAATTAAGAAGACATCGTACATTTCCATTCCCAGTAAATTACCACATATTAGAAGATACGGCCACGCATTAGTGGAATGAAATATTCGTTACGGACCGTTGGCACAGCGTCAAGTGATAAAGTGTCACGACGGGAGACAGATGCTTTAGGTGATTGTTATATAAAAGCAAGTAATGGCTTCCTCAAACCCATTTCTTTATCAACGCGATTACAACTTGTATCATCACTTAAAAATGTCACATAATCCAGATCTTTGGGTATAATTTTTACTATTTATTTAAAGCATGTAATTGCTTGATGTTTAAATCTAAAGAAAATATAACTAGAAAAAAGGCAGCAGACGGCACTCGAACCCGCACCCTTCGCAACCGGGCGAATGCACTGACCAATTATGCTACCGCGGCCCTCACAGACCGCGTCGAAATTCTTCTAGCCATTCTTAAGCTGCCGCCTGCTGCCTGGTCCGCGTGGAATTTTTTCTAGTTATATTTTCTTGGGGTATTCTATTATAGAATATATCGAACAGGGAAGTAGTTTCATTAACAATAATAATTGAGAATAAGGCAACTTACAACAATGTTTTGATTTCTTTAACAATTTTATCATCGATCGATTATTGAGAAGATACGGCATGGGAATAATAAAGCCATCACAATAAGTAAATCGATACAATACAGGACAGAAGCCACGAAGATCGTTTGTGTCCTTCGTAATGAATAAAATCTCACACATAGTAAGAATTGTTCGTCAAAAGTTCTGCCCTCTTAATGGGTTTTTTACGTTGTGCGCTTTAACGACCATTACCGTGTTAAAAAACACGATTTTCGTTTCGGTCATGAATTCGTGATGTACGCACAATGGAATTGTAATTGTGTGTCAACGTATTTGTATGCTGGCGGTGAAGTGACCGTGTGAGCGCGCGAGGAAAGCGCGGCTGTAACGGCACCGGCACCGGCACCGGACCGGCTGACGTCGTCGTCGCCGTCGTCGTGTTTTTTGTTGTTTGTTGAAGTTCTCCCGTTTTAGGGAAGGCAAAGGGAACAATGCCCATACAGCCTAGTCTTTAATTAAATTTATCTTCTTTTTGTTTTTACATTAGAATGACGGTGTGACGCATTCTAATGTTTCTTGGAGTGTTTGGCACGAAATGTATCGAGCTGGCTTTTTCGATAAGCTTCTGTGAGGTAGACAACACTATAATAAAATTCTCACGTCCACTTGACCGGAATAGCGTATATTTTGACGATTCCACTAATTCTTCAGTCACGCAGCCAGTTGTAACACAAAATCACACCAATTTTATTTCACAATATCCACTATGAACGAATTTAAGAATAATTAAAATAAGACGCCAACCGCACTCGATGAAATCCCGTCAAAAAAGCCCCGTCGTCGTGGTCGCTGCATTGTTACCAACCCTTAACAAAATTTTACCCTAAGTATTTTTTAAATTCCTCTAAAATCCCCTAAATATAGAAAATTATATTTATTTATTATCATAGGGCAGCTAACAGCTTATGAAAATAAAGATAACAGCAAAAAATATTACTAAAAGCTATTGACAAGTTACGACATATAGAACCTACTTATCTTATTACCTAAATTCTTTCGTTGCTCATAAATTAAAACGTTACATACTTAGTTACAGTAAATTATTTTATTGAATAAATACATTTTCCGAATGGAAAATCAAACGAAAATGAGCTGACAGGCGGTCTTAAAATCTTATTTAGCTGTTTTGATTGGTGGAAGGCAAAGAACTTTAGTCCATACAGCCTTAGGAAACGACCAGCCACACAGTGAGTTCAGTCGTTTCATATCGTGCTGCGTTCCATTCTACGCACAAAACTGAAAGAAAACACACGCTTTGTTTTTCGATTTAATTGAATGTTTTGTTAAAGCCCCTAAAAGAACCCCAACCCAAAATTCCAGTCCCCTAAAAAAGTCACTTTTAACACTTCTAGCCCCTAAATCTGTGGGGCAAAACCCCTAAGTTGGGAACCCTGGGTCGCCGGGCCTCAGAACGGTCCCATGACACGGAATCGTATGATCGATGCCCGTTTCACCTTGTAACGGTGCGGCCGACCACCGTTGCTAACACGAAACAGTTTGCCGACTCGAGAGACGCTCGCCTCGCCCCGTTGACGAGCGCGATAAAATGTGGAAGCTACACGACATTCCTCGCGGTTCTTAGATCATAAATATGAATACACCCGCTGGTAAATATCAAATGGGCAAAAATCATTGCACAACTAGTTTAAGACAACCTCATATAAATTGGTGTTTGTTTTCATATCCAAAACTTCTGTAATGTTACACATTTACAAAAGTTAGGTAGGGCATAGCGGACTCGCATTTTGAATTGGAGCATCTACCTATCTCTCAAAGCCGTCCTCACTATGTGTTAGTAAAGTTCCTCTGCTCTATATGGAGTAAGATTGTCATCTACATCCAGACTTAACATAAAGAAAAAGTGAAATAATTCGCTTCGCTTTGTATATAAATATCATAAAATCGCGAGGAAACGAAATATCAATATATATCTCTCACCGGGCGTCGATAAAGTGCAATCAAGAACCCCATAATACGTCAGGGACTATACTGTGACAATTCAAATAGTGAATCAGCGCTCAAAGATTTTTTTTATACAAGACACGGGAAATTACCCCACCTCACTAGATGTTAAGTGTAACAGTATGAGTAAAGTCCAGTCTCAAGGATAGCTGTGTAACAGGAAAAAAATAAAACTTCAGTTATCCCCACCTTACCGAACTAAACCTAATTCTCAACGGGTTCCGCGTAGGGATGTCGATTCTTTCCGAAAAAGATCGATTTTCAAATCGATTCGAACCGTGACCTAATGAATCGATCCACAAAAAAATCGGGGCCAATAATCGATCTTTTTTTAAGTTTTTGTTTATAATGTAATATAAGTCTATTTTATTAAAAACAAGATACATATTACAATTTAACGATCTCTTATCAGTAAAATCAGGTGATTCGACGATAAAAAATATTTTTATTCAAAGATTACAAACAAACGTAACTTTTTTTATTAAAAAGGGGAGAAGGAATCCATACAGCCATTACGCGATTTGTTTATAATTAACCCTTTTACCAGCAGCACTCTTATAACGAGTACATTTAAATAATTGTAAATACCTTTTTGGTTTATACCAAATAAATAAAATAAAATCGAATGTCGATTTTCAAGGCCGAAATATCGATTCAGTGAATCGATTCTGTACTACATATCGACTAATAAAATCGATTTTTTTGGCTCAAAAAATCGATTCTTCGATTAATCGATCTCAGGTCATCCCTAGTTCCGCGACGGGTTGAACGGGACGGAACGGAGCGCATCTCCGCGACTGACGTGCTGCCGCTAAAGGTAGTTAGGCAGCTCACGCCCTTAAAATCCTTAACAACAGAAACAACACCACTTTCTCGTGCTACGTCCTATATCCCTATAAGTCGATATATCGATAATGAAGATTGAGATCGGTAATATAATCGTGTCTTCCGCTGTGAAATTGCAGCTCTGGCGCTGTTCGAGCACGTGAACCTGCTGTACGGCACGGTGTCGGAGTTCTGCACGGCGGCCACGTGCCCGGACATGACGGGCCCCGGCGGGCGCACGTACGCGTGGTACGACGAGCGCGGCAAGAAGTCGCGCGTCGCCGCGCCGCAGTACGTCGACTATGTCATGACCTACACGCAGAAGACTATCAACGACGAGTCCATATTCCCCACTAAATATGGTGAGCCATTAAACTGATCGCTTGTCACCAGTCATGCGGGGATTCTCCCTTACACACTTTGAAAACTCTGCGATCACTGACTTTACAATAGCGCGTGTAGGAAGGCCAAAGGGGAAGATCTTCCTCCGAGCTGGGTGATGTTAGCTCGGGGGCCGCGGCCCGACTGATGTTGGTCGGGCATCGTATATATGAAGAGTTAGCCTTCGAATTTCATTTGCGCGATGCAGGCTTCCATACTAATATTGATCGCAGTGCAGGTTACGCCATCTCTTGAGGATGGTGAGTAATGATTTCCTACATCCGTTGTATATCTGTGGGGCATATAGATGTCGCCGCCTCCCGCGTGTCAAATTAACAATATTCTCTTAAAATTAATTAAACAATGTGGTTACAAAGGTTGAGCCAAATATTTTAAGAGGTAATCGTTGGCAGCTGGTATAAGTATAAACTGTGTCACAAGCTGCCAGCACCTCTTCCCAGGAAATTTCACAATTTTGGGTATATAATATAATATACAATTATCTACAAACCAGGCTGTTCTAAACCCAACCCAATATTGACGATTAGGGTTTAATGCATCTAATAGAGAGGAGACTTTTGATAAATTCCTTATCTAAAACATAACACTGAATTTATGAGTATTGAAAAGGATAACGGAAGGAAAGTGTGTGGATGTTTTGTTTATATAATGGGGGTATTTTTTTGCGTATCAGTAGTTTATAATCGATGGAAATTTCTTTCTTTTTATGAAGCTTTAGAAAAATATGCACATTAATAACTTTGCCATGTGCTGTTCTGAACTTTATTATATCATATCACTTTCTGTGATTTTGAATAGAAGTTCTTAATAGGGTATTTGACAGTATTAAAAATAAAGTGCCAATTGTTAGCATTTGTGTTTAGAATGAATATTGGCACTACTAAAAGCCCACGAAAAAGATAATAGTTTTCTTATCAATTATCACGTGACTCAAAACGCTTGGGATTGGCGGAGCCTAAAATGACGTCACACGCAAGTAAACTTCCGGTTAAAGTGACATTACATTGTATCGTTTGACGTTTTTATAACAGTCGTGTGACGTCACACACTAGTAAGACGCCATATTGTCCAGAGAAACGTTTTCGCGGCAACTTGAAAATGGTGTTTTTGTTTGGTTATTTTTACTGAAATACACAACAGAATGATGAATATCCACAATTTTTACGTACTCCATAAACATTAGTCAATAAAGTGAGATCGTTTTCTAAAACTTGCCAAATACCCTATTCAACTTTATTCGTAGGCGATCGAACAAGTTAAATCACGCTCGGGGTCAGATCGTAGACTTGTGAATGTTTTATAGAGCGTTGCGTAAGGGGTCGAGCGTGCGTTGGACTACAAGCAATCGTTTAACTCCAATAGTAATCGTTTGCGAAGTAGGTTCTCGTTCCGGCATGCATTATCGGTTTATTCCACCATGGACTCGTTTCACAATCGATGACTTGCCTTCTTTGTCGTCGTTGACGACAGTCGTCTACCGAACCGAAGGAAGAACGTGTCGACCAATTACAAGGGCTAAGTTTACGGGCGTTAGAGGGGTGCGGGGCATTGTGTGACGGGGGGATAGTCGCGTGATGGACTGCCAATCAAGGCTTACTTTTTAAGGGTCGCGTATTAAACTAGCGCTGTGGTCGGTCGACGGTCCCGGACAACCGGGGCCAATAGTATTAAGAGAAATCGTAGTCTGCCAGGAACTATCATCGCGTGAACAACTAGCCAGAAGAATAATGAAAGTAAAGCAAAAATTAGTGTTTTGAATTCGACAACCTACATACAGTCCACATCGGGGATCCGAGGACTGATGATCTTCATCACCTTCGTTATCATCATCATCACCGACATCTCGGTCCTTCGAGCCGGATTCATTCGCGATCACATTTTGGAAAGACAAATATTTATATTTTTTTTTTTTTTTTTTTTTTTTTTTTTATTATTTTAAAGCATGTAACTGCTTGATGTTTAAATCTAAAGAAAATATAACTAGAAAAAATTGGTCAGTGCATTCGCCCGGATTGCGAAGGGTGCGGGTTCGAGTCCCGTCTGCTGCCTGGTCCGCGTGGAATTTTTTCTAGTTATATTTTCTTTAAAGACAAATATTATTTTTATATTCTTGATAGAATTATTGTAACTTTTCAGACGAGGGTAGCGATCTTCATTACATAGAAGCGCGTATGACGCATCTATAAGTATAAAACATTATAGGTAGCATATTGATATATCTGGGACGGTCGGTTTGGGGGTGTGCAGCGAACGAGTTCCCGGCGATGTTCGAGGGCGTGGTGCGGCGCGTGGTGCGGCTGCTGTTCCACGTGGTGGCCCATATGTACGCCGCGCACTTCCGCCATGCCGTGCTGCTGGGGCTGCACGCGCATCTACACCTCACCTTCGCGCACCTCACCACGCTGCACCGCCGCTACGCGCTGCTGGACCACAAGGAGACCGACGTGAGTACTGTTCCACGTGGTGGCCCATATGTACGCCGCGCACTTCCGCCATGCCGTGCTGCTGGGGCTGCACGCGCATCTACACCTCACCTTCGCGCACCTCACCACGCTGCACCGCCGCTACGCGCTGCTGGACCACAAGGAGACCGACGTGAGTACTGTTCCACGTGGTGGCCCATATGTACGCCGCGCACTTCCGCCATGCCGTGCTGCTGGGGCTGCACGCGCATCTACACCTCACCTTCGCGCACCTCACCACGCTGCACCGCCGCTACGCGCTGCTGGACCACAAGGAGACCGACGTGAGTACTGTTCCACGTGGTGGCCCATATGTACGCCGCGCACTTCCGCCATGCCGTGCTGCTGGGGCTGCACGCGCATCTACACCTCACCTTCGCGCACCTCACCACGCTGCACCGCCGCTACGCGCTGCTGGACCACAAGGAGACCGACGTGAGTACTGTTCCACGTGGTGGCCCATATGTACGCCGCGCACTTCCGCCATGCCGTGCTGCTGGGGCTGCACGCGCATCTACACCTCACCTTCGCGCACCTCACCACGCTGCACCGCCGCTACGCGCTGCTGGACCACAAGGAGACCGACGTGAGTACTGTTCCACGTGGTGGCCCATATGTACGCCGCGCACTTCCGCCATGCCGTGCTGCTGGGGCTGCACGCGCATCTACACCTCACCTTCGCGCACCTCACCACGCTGCACCGCCGCTACGCGCTGCTGGACCACAAGGAGACCGACGTGAGTACTGTTCCACGTGGTGGCCCATATGTACGCCGCGCACTTCCGCCATGCCGTGCTGCTGGGGCTGCACGCGCATCTACACCTCACCTTCGCGCACCTCACCACGCTGCACCGCCGCTACGCGCTGCTGGACCACAAGGAGACCGACGTGAGTACTGTTCCACGTGGTGGCCCATATGTACGCCGCGCACTTCCGCCATGCCGTGCTGCTGGGGCTGCACGCGCATCTACACCTCACCTTCGCGCACCTCACCACGCTGCACCGCCGCTACGCGCTGCTGGACCACAAGGAGACCGACGTGAGTACTGTTCCACGTGGTGGCCCATATGTACGCCGCGCACTTCCGCCATGCCGTGCTGCTGGGGCTGCACGCGCATCTACACCTCACCTTCGCGCACCTCACCACGCTGCACCGCCGCTACGCGCTGCTGGACCACAAGGAGACCGACGTGAGTACTGTTCCACGTGGTGGCCCATATGTACGCCGCGCACTTCCGCCATGCCGTGCTGCTGGGGCTGCACGCGCATCTACACCTCACCTTCGCGCACCTCACCACGCTGCACCGCCGCTACGCGCTGCTGGACCACAAGGAGACCGACGTGAGTACTGTTCCACGTGGTGGCCCATATGTACGCCGCGCACTTCCGCCATGCCGTGCTGCTGGGGCTGCACGCGCATCTACACCTCACCTTCGCGCACCTCACCACGCTGCACCGCCGCTACGCGCTGCTGGACCACAAGGAGACCGACGTGAGTACTGTTCCACGTGGTGGCCCATATGTACGCCGCGCACTTCCGCCATGCCGTGCTGCTGGGGCTGCACGCGCATCTACACCTCACCTTCGCGCACCTCACCACGCTGCACCGCCGCTACGCGCTGCTGGACCACAAGGAGACCGACGTGAGTACTGTTCCACGTGGTGGCCCATATGTACGCCGCGCACTTCCGCCATGCCGTGCTGCTGGGGCTGCACGCGCATCTACACCTCACCTTCGCGCACCTCACCACGCTGCACCGCCGCTACGCGCTGCTGGACCACAAGGAGACCGACGTGAGTACTGTTCCACGTGGTGGCCCATATGTACGCCGCGCACTTCCGCCATGCCGTGCTGCTGGGGCTGCACGCGCATCTACACCTCACCTTCGCGCACCTCACCACGCTGCACCGCCGCTACGCGCTGCTGGACCACAAGGAGACCGACGTGAGTACTGTTCCACGTGGTGGCCCATATGTACGCCGCGCACTTCCGCCATGCCGTGCTGCTGGGGCTGCACGCGCATCTACACCTCACCTTCGCGCACCTCACCACGCTGCACCGCCGCTACGCGCTGCTGGACCACAAGGAGACCGACGTGAGTACTGTTCCACGTGGTGGCCCATATGTACGCCGCGCACTTCCGCCATGCCGTGCTGCTGGGGCTGCACGCGCATCTACACCTCACCTTCGCGCACCTCACCACGCTGCACCGCCGCTACGCGCTGCTGGACCACAAGGAGACCGACGTGAGTACTGTTCCACGTGGTGGCCCATATGTACGCCGCGCACTTCCGCCATGCCGTGCTGCTGGGGCTGCACGCGCATCTACACCTCACCTTCGCGCACCTCACCACGCTGCACCGCCGCTACGCGCTGCTGGACCACAAGGAGACCGACGTGAGTACTGTTCCACGTGGTGGCCCATATGTACGCCGCGCACTTCCGCCATGCCGTGCTGCTGGGGCTGCACGCGCATCTACACCTCACCTTCGCGCACCTCACCACGCTGCACCG